TTCCCCATTACTGCATTTTAACACATCATCTTCATTCTCATCAACACACCATAAATGTGATTCCCTGTGTTGGTAGCATTCCCTACACTGCAAAAGAACAAATGGAGGGTGAGACATGTTTAAACTTGGTGTTACAGCACGACAGGGCCTGGAAGGTTTGGGAGTAAAGGGGAAGGAGGCGCCAACTGGCACCACTTGATTTAGGCAAAACTTAACCTGTTTCTGAAGGCCGCTCCCCTAGCCGGGTCCCCCTTGCAGCTGCTCTACTAACCTACTGTACATTCTATCCCAAATCACTCTTAGACTTGCCCTTTGTATAAAAAGCCAGCGTGGCTGCTCCTCTGCCCAAACACACATGAATAGCCTCTGCAAATGCCTGCTGTCTCTCAGGCCTCTGGGTCACAGACTATGCATCTGCTGTTGCTGCTAAATAATTTCACTAAGAATCTGCTGGGATATTTAGAGAAAGAAAAGTCAAGTTGAGGGAGTAGGGTGCTCAGAGGGGCAGAAGAAATGCTGAAAGGAAGGAAAGGAATAGGAGTGAGAGGAGAGAAGGGGAGAAAGGAGAAGTGACAGGGAGAAATGACGTTAGGAAATGGGAACAATAAAAGGGAAAAGAAAAAAATATAAAAGAATGGGGAGAAAAGACAAGACTAGATGGGAAGGAGATAGAGAAAAAAGGGAAGAAAAAGAGATGCAGGGAAGAGGAAGAAGGAAAGGGAAGGAACCAGAGAAAGATAAAGAGAATAAGAAAAGAGGAAAAGGAGAGAAGTAAAAGTAAGAACGGAAAATAAGAGGCAGAAAAGGGAAAGAAGAGAAGAGGGAGATAATACAGGGAAAATGGGGAAAAGAGGAAAGAAAAGGCTAAGAAAGGAGGATCAAGGAAGAGAAAAAGGAGGATGAAAGATACAGAACTTTGTGAGGAAGTAGGTGAAAAGATGAAAAAATAGGGAAGAAGATAGAAGGGGAACAGGAAAGCTTCGTAACAGCAGCACTTTAGTTTGTCATTAATCCAACATAAGCCAATATTTTTCCCACTCAATCTTTTTTACATTTGTCTACATAGCACGGGATCAAAAGGGCAGGTGCACAGACCATGAGGGAGAGACAAAGAGAGATAAAGGGACAAAGAGAAAGCAAGGAAGAATCCCTTCATCATTGTCAAATCACCTGCCATTGCTTTGGTACTTCTGGATGATCAAGTTGTAAATATACTAATCTCATCATGTTGCCTGTGGTAGAGCCAATGGACTGGGAGACTGACCAACAGAGGGGAGATATATTTAAGTGGGGCACATAAGGATAAAATAAAACCAAATGAAGAACTGAGTGACCATAGGGGGTGAACATTTAAATTTCCAAAGGTGACTAAGAGATAACTACAGTGAAAGAAGAAATCTCTTCTCATTACTGTGTTCTCCTTCATTCCAAGTTCAGCCATCATGTGTCTCTTTTCTAGGCTTTCCAGGATAAACATCCCTTTGATCCTTCATTTTAACATCAGCAGCAGACTTCTGGCTTAGGTGTCATTTTTGAACCCAATGACCATGGATCCACAGAGATTAGGGGACTTTTGCTATAGCTGCATAAGTTGACCCTCAGGAATAAGTGGCATTCATATTGTTGTTCATCCTTTGTTTGGGGGAGGACCAATGACATCATAGGGTTATATCTTGACTCTTGGGTGAATTGAAATTAAGTGAGGCAGAGTTGCACAAAGTCATTGGCCTCAGTTTCTCTTATGGAATCATCAAAATCCAGTGGCAAGATAAAAATTAAGACAACTGGCAATGGCCCAGGATGTAGTGGATGACCTTGGCATCTTTGATGTTTGACTAAGCTCTAAGAACTACACCGTGCTTTATGGCTTTCATGAAGCCACCTTCACGGCCACTGGAACAAATTGTTCTCATTTGCCCATTCTGCCATGGAAAATCTTCAGATACTTGGGGTAAACATCCCCCTAACTCACTGACAGGTTTGAGGCCTGTTGGTTACCCTCAACGTGGTTTAGCCCATTTGCCAAGATGATTTTACTGGGGTGTGGCCACTGTGCATGCTACAGCTTCTTGGAGGCACAGGTAACAGCTACAGGTGCACACACACAACCCAAAAGGTTGCTCAATTCTGGCAAGAAGCTGACTTAGGGTTCTCAATCTAAACACACTATTGTTATTAATAGAAAGGTATGTTACGGAAAGAGCACCATCAACACAGAAATATGAGATGACCAGATATCCAGGGGTGTGTTGGCACTGATTCATACTGGTTAAATTTTCAGTGTGACCATTTATATCTTGGAAATCAGCAAATGCTACAAATCAGGGCTTGACTTACTGTTTTGTTGATCATCTAGACTTATGAAAGTGATGGAGAAAATGTTAATAATGCAGATTTAAACTTAAAAGTTTGTCATATGTACTTTTTTGGGGGGTGGGGTGGGGAGCTGGTTGTTAAAGAGTTACAAGCACACTCCTGCAGCTACCCCTCCACAAAGTTCTATTCCAGTACTCTATCATAGTGCAGACAAGACCCTTGCTTCTCAAAGGCTATGGCAAAGTACCACAAACTCTGGTGGGTCCTACCATGAAGAAAAGGTTTTGACTGTGGCTCAGATAACAGACTGGGTCTTTCTGAAAACCAGTTCAGCCAAGCACAGAAAGGCTCACCACCACTATACTGGTGATGAACTTTTTGACCATGGAAGCCCATAAAACAAAGAAAAACACAAAATGGCCCTTTGACCCATCAGGCCTCCTTCTGCCCTGCAGAAGGGGTAGTAGGGTAGCATAGTTTTTAGAATGATGGTAAACTTTGACCATTGTAACTCCCCATGTGAGATACTCTTTCATTGATTAACAAATGGACATATTTGTGGAGGAGCTCAGTCATAGCAGTCAACATTGTTGCAATAAGGAAAACCAAAAAAAATGAGGGAAATTGAAACTAAATGAAAAGTTTGTTTATCGACATTCTTTGAAGAGGCAAAGAGGGTTGATAAAGCTGGTTTTATCATCCATCTAAAGTTAAAATAAAAATTTATTCCTTTAAAAAATGAGAGGGATGGGAAAAGACTAGTGCAGCAATGAACTTGGGGCCAGGGGACCAGAATTCCAATCTTGGCTCTGTCATTTATTACATGTATGACATTGGACATCATTTTCCTCATCTACAAAATGAGAGGGGTAGACTAGACACCTTCTACAATCCCTTCCACCCCTAGATCTGTGATCCTATGATTAGATGATTACTAAAGTCCATCCTAACTTTAAATCCAATTTTCATAAATAGTTTACACGGAATAGGGATTATTTGTTATTAAAATGTTTGACAGGATTAGCTTGTGAATCCATCTGGATTCCCAGATGGATTTTGTTTGTTTGTTTTTTACATGGCAGCTCATTTATGGCCTGTTCAGTTTCTCTTTCTGAAATTGGCTTATTTTGGCAATCTATCTCTTATTTTGTAAATTTGGGTGTTGAGGGTTATTTATCTCATTTCATTTCTATTTTCAGTTTTCCAACATGCTGTATATAATAGTTCCTGTTAGGAACAGGGGCAAGGACTAGACCCATGATTTCATAGGTATACAGAACTCCAGGATTAAGAAACTCCCTATGTGGACATGTCTGCACCTAGAGTATAGATAGGTTAAGTGACTATCCCAAAGTCATGTAGCCATTAGGTATCAGAGGTGAGATTTGAACTCATGTCTTCTTGGCTCTGAGACTAATTTTCTATCCATTACAGCACTCTGTTTCTTAAATTATCTAGCTAAATTTTCAACGTGAGCATTTATACCTCAGAAATCAGCAATTGTTACAAATGGGACCTTAATTTGTTGTTTTGTCTCTGATAACTGATTGTCTCTGACAATGTTCTATATTTCACTTGATCCCTCATGATATAACTTTTCATTTTTAATTTTGGCCATTTGATTTTCCTTTCTTTTTATTAATTTAACTAAGTATAACAATTTCATTGGTCCTCTTTTTTTAGCTTTTTTATTTTGTTTTATTAATTCAGTTATTCCATTCCTTTCAACTGACTAACAATACAAAGTGATAAGCAGTTTTATATATATATATTGCATATATATTATATATACATACATATACATATCCAGAGAGAGAAAGTAAGATCAATCTATCAAATATAGATTGATTGATCTATCTTTATCTGTCTTAGCTACCCTCCTCACAGGCAAAGTCTATGTTATATAATTCTTTTAACACTATTCAATCAACTAATAAACATTTATTAAACTCCTACTATGTGCCACTATTGTTAATTATCAATAACATTTAATTGTTCACAACACTTAACACAGTGCTAAGCACACAATAGGCAATAAATAAATACAAAAGAAGAGCAAGGCTGGGCCTGAGAGTGTGTAGGTAATTAGGATTAGAAGGAAATCAGGTAAAGGGGCTATTCCCTTTATTTCCCTTGGCTGTTTTCTCCAGAGAAGGGAATGAGAACAGAACCTTGGGGAAAGCAGAAGGTGTCCAATGGGAAAGGTTAGTGTTGGGGCTTATTAATAGGGAGCATGAAAGAGAGCACAGGAGAGACTCATTTTTCATCCCTTATTGATACAAGCCTCTTTCCATCTTTCTCTCTCTATTTTGGAGGCTATTAGATATAAGTTTATTGCTTCCCGTCCCACTAGAAAAATGAAAATATAAAAGGAATGGCTAAAATACCCATAAGTCCTTCCAAATACCCAAATTTGCCATGTAAATTCCATGTAAAAAAGAAATGAAAGAAAAATTTTATTCTACCAGCTAGGGTCCAAGGTGATATTTATATCTGTATGTAGACTGATCTATCTATTAATCTATCTTACCTATATATGTATGCAGTAGTCACTGTTCAATCAACCAGGCCAACTAAGTCTTCCAGTGGTGATGTGGAGGTACAGTGGGGATCATGAGTTAAAACAAAGCAGGAGCAGGTGCACATTACACATCAGAGCACATAAGGAATTGATGATGTCTCACCTGGGCTTGGGCCTTTATCTTTTCATATTCTCCCTTCATCCTTTTCTGGACATTTTCATCTACACTGGGGTCTCCTATCCTGTTGAACAAGGAGGCTGCTTCTTCGAGCAGCCTATCCAGGAGGATGGACTGGTTCAGGATGTTATTGAGCAGGACTTGAGAGTGGCTAAGTTGCCACTGCTTTTCTTTGAGTCCCACCTGCAGCTCCACACTGGTCTCCAAAGTCATCTTAATCTTTTGGAACCACCGGTAAAATTCATCCTGGGCCAGCAAATATTCACTCCAGTGCAGCCACACCCACTCAATCCGGCTGTTAAAAGAGGAAAACAAACATAACTACTACTAAAAATAGCACATTTATAGTTTATGAAACATTTTTCTTATGAGCTTTATGAGGAGTTCAGTGTACACGATATAACTTTTATAAATAACAATTCACTTATCTGTAGTAGCTTAAGGCTTACAAAGAGGGGTGTGCTGCAGTCAGTTCTAACTTGAGATTGTTAAATTTTCAGTATGAGCATTTATACCTCAGAAATTAGTGATTGCTACAAATCAGGCCATAATTTATTGTTTTGTTGATTGTCTAGACTTTTAAAAGTGTTAGTAATTCAGAATAAGTAAACTTAAAAGTGTGTGTGTGCATACTTTTTTTTCCCCTCAGACAGCCTGGTTATTAAACATTTACCAGTACGCCCTTGTATTGGTCTGTAAACACTACTTGAGCTCAGCATAAGTGTAGTAGAAAGATTAGAGAATGAAGTCATCACTAGATTGGAGGCTTAGTGAATGTGGGCTAATAAATTAATGATAATAATATAATAATAACTGACATTTCTATAGTGCTTTAAGGTTTGCAAAGAGTTTTACACACATTATCTCATTGGAGCTTCACAATACTCTTGATTACAAAGCACTTTCCTCATAATACTCCAGGCGTAGTAGGTAATACAAGTGTTGTGATCGCCATTTGGTAGATAAGGAAACTCAATCTCAAAAAGACTTGACTTTACACCCAAATGTCTCAGCTAAAGTCATACATACAGCTAGCAAGTACAAAAGCTTCTACTTTAACCCCTATCTCTTGATTCCCAGTCTAACAATCTTTTCATTATACTATGCTAACTGTGGGATAAAAAAGAAAACATGACTGAAATGTTCCCATGTCACTGGCTTTGAGAGTAAGGAATTCAGGGTGTCTAAAGTACCCACACTAATGGAGGTAACGAAAGGACAAAGTAACAGAAGCAAAGGATAATCCAAAAATCATTTCTGTTTTGCCTTGAAACTCAGAAATGAGGTATGGAACCTAGACACAGCACTCACACGTTCCCAATCTTAAACATAATAATTAGCGTTTACATAGCATTTTAAGATTTGCAAATTGCTTTACAAGTATTATCTCATTTTATTCTCATAATAACTATGGTAGTTGCTATTATTGTCCCCATTTCACAAATAGGGAAATTGAGTCACAAAATATGTTTGTTTTGTTTTTAATGACTTGCCTCTGACCCCAGAGCCAGTGTTCATTCTATTGGATTGCTCAGCAATCCCTCTACTCCAGTCCCTATCTCATTCCCCATTCTAATTGTAGCAAAACTTTTCTTGTCCAACTATCTCCAACCTTCCACATACACAGTAAATGGTTTAGCTTCCTACGTCACTGAGAAGATTAAAGTCATTTGATACGAGGTTCTTTAGCCAAGATGTCCTTTTCCATTCCTCAAACCTACTCAACATCAGAACTGGGGACAACCGCTGGAGTTGCAAAGCAGCAAATTTGGGTTTGATATAAGGGAAAACTTCTTATAATAATTATCACTGTCCAAAAATGGAATGGGATGCCAATGAGGGTTGGAAGCTTCACCTCACTGGAGGTTTTCCAGCAGAGCTTAGATCTTATAGATGTTATAGTGCAATAAAGGGTTGATTTTGGAAGCTATTGAGGCCTCTTCCTTTGAAAATTTGTGATTTGCTGCCCATTCTCATTGACTCATAGATGCAGAGACAGAAAGAATTTCAGAGATCATCTAGTTCAGCCTCTTTATTTTATGAAGCCCAAGGAAGTTAGATGACTTGCCCAAGTTTACAGAGGTAGTAAAAAAATCACTGAGTCATTCTCTTTTCCTTCAATTTAATTCAATTCAGTGAAAAATAGATAAAATATCCCAAATGCTCATTAAGACTCATCCTTCTAATTCAGGGGTTCCTACCCTAAGACCCATAGACTTAGACTGTAGGAAGACTATGAAGTTGAATAGAAAAAAATTACATTTTTGTTTCAGTTAACCTCTAACTAATATTTAGTATTTCCTTCAAATATTTAAAAATGTTATCATGAGAAGATAATACTGCCAAAGAGGCTCACGATACAGAAAAGACTAAGAACTCCTGCTGTAACTGGACCCTTTATCCCACTGCTGACCTTGTCCCGCCTTTTGCAGAACTTTATTATAGCAGTCTTCTCCTCTCTAAAATGCTATTTTATCTTCACCTCCCTTTTTTTCTCCCTTCTCCTTCCCCATTTCTGTCTCTGTCTGCTATCTGTCCCTTCCCATCTACAAACATATCTGAGTTTCTTTAATTCTAAAAAACTCCAAAAAACAACACTCTTCCCTTGATTTTTTTATCCTATTCAGTTATTCTACCTCACTTTGTCCTTCCCTTCACTGATAAACTTCTCTGTAAAAGTAGTCTACATGTTCTTCCTCCACTTAAACAATATCTGCTTTTTCTTCAACCCTTTGCAGTCTTGCTTCCCTCCCTGCAATGCTACACAAAGTGCTCTAAGGTTGCCAGGGATCTTTCTGTTATTAAATCTAACACAGCTTTTCCCTCCCTCCCTCTTTCCCTTCCCCCCACCAAATTTCACCCTTTTTGACATTTCTGACACTGTTAACCCTTTCCTGCTTCTAAATACCTTCTGTTTCTTTTGGTTCTGAGAGCTTACAGTCTCTTGGTTCCCTTCAAACCTTTTTTTTTTTTTGTCTTGGCAATGGGGTTAAGTGACTTGCCCAGGGTCACATAGCTAGTAAGTGTTATGTGTCTGAGGCCGGATTTGAACCCAGGTCCTCCTGAATCCAGGGCTGGTACTCTATCCACTGCACCACCTAGCTGCCCCCTACCTTCAAACCTTTTAATTGCTCCTTTTCTGACTTCTCTGTTGGTTCTTCTTCTCCCAATCCCTTAAAAAGAACCCCCTTAAAACAAAACCTTTGAGGATCTGTCCTTGGCTCTCTTCTTCTCCTTTCCTCCCCTCTTCTTTCCCTTCCCCTACTTTCTCCCTTCTTCTCGTCTCCTCTTACCCTTACTCTCTGTGTACTTTCCCCAAGAGTAAATTCATTCAATTCTACAGCTTCAATCAATACCTCTATGCAGATGCTCCTAAGTTTATCTCCAACCCAACTTCTCTGAGTTCTAGACCTGCCTCTCTAACTACCTATAAGACCTATATAACTGTATTTCCCACCAGGAACTCAACTTTAACATGTCCAAAAGAGAAGAGAACTTGTTATCTTTTTCTTAAAATCTGTTCATCCTTCTGATTTGACAGTTTCTATCAAGGATATCATCATTTCCCCTGTCTCACATATTTGAAACTCTGATGATATTTATGAGTCTTCCTTCTCCCTCATCTCATATATCCAGTCACCCAGTGTTGTAAATTCTACCTTTGAAATCGCTCCCATCCATCCCCTCCTCTCTATTCTTACTGACATCTTCCAAGTATAGGCCCTTAATTCCCGTCCTCTTTGACCACTGTAATAGCTTCTGAAGACTTCTGGCCTCCACTTCTTCTTTCTCCAGATCATCCTTCATATGCTTCCAGAAAGCTTTGGCATGAAGAGTCATTGTTCCATGAAGCATCTGTTATTTACCAATCAGTTAAAGAAAAACAAACCCTCTACCTGGCGTGCAAAGCTATTAACATTCTAATATCACTCTCCTCTAAGTATCACTCACTCTAACTTGTCATTTTCCTTATAAACCTTAACGTTCTCATGTCTACCTTCACTTAGGCTCTTCTATATACTAGGAATGGTCTTTCCTCCCCATTCTACCTTCCAATTCCAATTCTACCATATTGTCTATTGAATTCTTATTAATCTGTTAAAGCCTGGCTCAAATGCCACCTCCTCCGGAAAACCTTCCCTAATATCCCATATTTGTAAGGACCTGTCCTCTCTTGGATCTCACACAGCACATTTCTTGTGCCATTCTGCTCCTCTCTGGTATATTTATAAAATATTATTTTGAACTATATTTGTATATCATATTTACCTACAATACTGTAAACCCTATAAAGCAGGGGCTGTGTTTTGTCTAAACTTTATATCTGCCCGATGCCTAAAACAGTACTTGGCAGTAGGTGCTTAATAAATGTTATTTTGATCATGTTGTTTAACCAATCCACAATACCCCTCTATGTGGCGATCTTACCTCTGTTTAAAACCTCTTATCATGGTGAGGTCATTACTTCTCCAGGTAGCCTGTTTTAATAGCAGTTCTTTCTGATATCAGCCTAAAATCTGCCTCCTGGCAATTTCTGTATACCAAAGCTAATACCTGTTCTCTATGACATCCCTTTGGATATTTGAAGACAGTATCAACTCCTCCTAAGCCTTTTATTTTCCAGCCTATCTACCTAGTTCTGTTAGCTGATCCTTATGTGATGTGGTTTCTAGTTTTTTCCCTCTTCCTCATCCTTCCTCCAGTCCTGGTTCTTCTACTCTGGAGATGCTCCAGTTTGTCATTGCCTCTCCTAAAATACGGTGCCCAGCCTTGATTCTACCAACTCATGTTTATATATTTTTACTTTTCCAAAGGCTTTCACGCCTATTATTTCCAATAATAACAGTAATTATAATAGTTAGTACTTATATAGTAGTTTAAGGTTGGCAAAGTGCTTATTTTATCCTCACAACAATCCTGGGATTTGGGTGCTATTGTTATCTCCATTTTACAGCCAAGGAAACTAAGGCCAAGAGAAGTGATTTGCTCAGGATCCTATAACCAGTAAGTATCTGAGGCCAGATTTGAACTCAGGTCTTCCAGATTCCAGATTTAGTGGTCTATCTACTACACAACCTACTTGTCTCACTTGGATAAGAAGACAGGAAACCTAAGTGTTGGTCCCAGTGTAACCTTGCGTGAGATACCTCAGTATTCTGATTTGTAAAGGAGAATAATATTGGCCCTGTCTGCCTCAGAGAGTTTTCGTGGGAATTGGATTACAAGGTACATGAAAAGACTTGGAAATAAATAAACACACACACACACACACACACACACACACACACATACACACACATATATTATATACACATATACACACCTAGACATATATGTACACATATACATACATACATATATAATGTAAAGTACTATCAACAGTAATTTAAAAAAATTAAAATCTCATAAATTAGGTATAAATTTATAACTGACTAAATACAATATAATAGGCTTATGATGAGACCAGGAAGATACCACAGCAAGTGTACCTTGTATTGAAAAAACACTACCTTCTTACATTGTTGCCAGAGCATGATAGATTGCCAGTGCTTGTCATTGTGATTAAATGTTATTATTATAATTATTGTGAATCAGTTAGGGAGGGACTAGAGATCATAAGAGAATATCCTATTCCTAATAAACTCCAAGAGGGTCACTCTCTTTCATAATAACATTAGGAAAGAGGTAGATTTCTACTAAAGCAACTATGGGATAATGGAAAGGGTACTGAATTTTGGAATCATGAATTTTTAATTCATGAAAGTTTGAATCCCAGCTCTATTTGGGCAAATTGTTTCCTCTTTTGGGAACTCAGTTTCTCTCCTCAGTAAACAAAACACAACAAAACAAAACAAGAGGTAATTGGACAGGATGACCTGTAAGGTGCCTTCTGGCTATGATATCCTATAGAGATATGATTCCAAGGCCCCTTCCAGTGAAAGGTCTAAGGATCCTGGTTCTAATATTCTATGACTCTCCCTCATATCCTTGTGACAGACCAGCTCTCATGTACCAATAGGACTAAGGCCTCATGATTTTCTTCTACCCAGGCTTCCATTAACTCACTACCTGTGACAGTGAGTGATATAGATAACTGTTTCTTCCCACTGGGCTTTGATGTCCTTCAGTCTGGCCAGGATCTTGTGCTTCTGTTCTTCACTGCAACAGCTGAGGAGATTGTCTGCTGACTTCAGGACCAGGTCCATCTTCATTTGTCCCTCTGGTTCCAGGTGACATATTTTCTAAGAAAAGCAAAATTGACAAAAATTCACATTTTCATAGTGTTTTACAGCTTATCAAGCCCTTTTCTCCCAATAACTCTGTGGGCAGATGTGCAATAGTTCAATCTTTAAAAATTTGTTTAAAATACATTTTATTGATCCTTTGTCTTTACATCAATCATGTCAACACCCTATCCCCCCTGCAATGAACTCTCCCTTCTGATGAAACAAATCAATTAAGCAAAAACATCCCATATAGTGACCCCATCTAACAACGTATACAATATTACATCCCAGTAATCTCCCATCTCTTAGTGGTGAGGAAGGAGGTACGCTGCATTATTTGATTTTGGGATCTTTACTGGTTTTTCAATTACTAAGAGTTCAACTTCTTTTTAGTAATCTTTTCACTTATATTATTAAAGTCATTGTATATAATATTCCTTGGTTCTGCTTAATCTTTCTGCATCTGTTCATATGAATCTTCCATTGTTGGATAAACCCTTTATAAAGAATCTATGGGAGATCATGGAGAAGAATCCCATAGGATGAGAAGGCAAGGATGGGTTAAAATTGATACCAATGGAAAGGAAATACATGTAAGATGAAAGAACCATAGATTGGAAGTTGGAAGGCAATCTCAACTCACAGATGAGCAAAACGAGGCCCAGAAAGTTTAATCAATCTGCCCAGAGTCCCACATGTAGACATCATTGAGATCATGGATCCACTGAAATGTCCTGACATGCAGCACCATAAGGGTTTACAGAGCAACCCGAAGTTGCCACAGCAAAACTTCACTGGTCCCTTCCCCATATGACTACTTGGTCTGCTGCTTCAGAGTGATTTTATAGAGGACAGCCTCCAGAACCTTCCTTATAAAAAAGAACCTAGAGGGGAAAATCCCTCTGTGTCAAGGGAGTGACGAGGGTTTCATTCAGTTTCAGAAGCCGAGATCCTTTGTCCCTTTTCCCTTTGCCCCTTTTCGCCAAAAGGAAAACCCTTAAATTTTTGGATTCCCCTTACCTCCCTCCCAAAGCCTCGGCCTCGCCTTTTAATCTTATTCAGATGTGCTTTCCTCCCTCACCCTAAAAAGAACCTGACTCCTGTTTGTCTCTCTTTATCTCCCTTTGAAAGCAAACTTCTACCTTGCAGTTCCCTTTGTTATCTATTCTCATTGTCTCTTCAAATCTCTCAGACCTTCCAAACGGAATTCCCACCTGGGCCCTTTTTCCCAATCACTTCCCCCCTTCAACTGGCCTTTCATTGTGGCTATACCCAATCTCCCCTCCATTGTTTTACCTTCCTGCGGCCCCTGGCCATTTCCCACCCTTAGTCCTAGCTAGGCACCACGAGGTCCAGGACCCAGGAGTTCTGTTTACCCCAGCTTACTAGCCACTCCCATCCAGATCTCCCTAGGCCCTCCCTCCCATCACCCCAAACTACTTGGCCACTCCTAGATCCCTCCCACAGTCTTTCTGTACTTAAGATTCACCTTTGCCCCCATTCTGATGCTGAGAATCTCTCAAGCCCAGAGGCTGAGGTTGTTTCATGCCCGCTTGTCCTTACGGGTGTCACCTGGCCTTGCCCATTCCGATCCCCCATTCTGATGTTGAGAATCTCTCAAGCCCAGAGGCTGAGGTTGTCTCATGCCCGCTCATCCTTACGGGCATCACCTGGCCTCCCCCATTCAGATGCTGAGAATCTTTCATGCCCAGAGGGTGAGACTCTCATGCCCACTCGTCCTCATGGGCATCACCTGGCCTATATGTGATTTATCTTTAATAAACTTTTTGTCTGGCTGGAAGAAGATTTGGGTTGAATTTATTCAGGCAGACCCGGCGCCGCGATCTGGGGCTTTTCCCAGCACCCCAAAATCTGCCATGATCTTGGGGTGCCTCGGCACGTAGGAGCACCCCAAAACCTCTACGCTTCTCCAGGCGCACAGTGCTCGATAGGGCCACATGGGAGATTTCTAAAATACCACTATGGACTCTCCTAAGCTTTTGAATATCAGCACGATGCAAAGTCCCATTCAATCCTGATGTGCTGTACTAGGTTGTACTGTAGTTTTCTTGATGCCAGATAGAATAAATGCCACCTCCTCCATGAAATCTTTCCTGGTGTGCCCCTCCTTCCCTGAAAGTAAGAACCATCTCCCTGAACCAAATACAACACATTTTTAAACTAATAGACATCTCACATGTATTAAAGTTATGTATGTCTATGTTTTATCCTCCTACTAGATTATAACCTCCATAAACACAGGGATACTATCTTACCTTAGCCAAGTCACTTAATTATTCTGGCCCTCAGTCTCCTCATCTGTAAAATGAGAGCATCAGACGAAATAATCTCAAAGGTCACTTCCAGCTCTAGATCCTAACATCCTGTGGCTTAAGTTTAGCATCTTCTCTGAGGTCTAGCTCAGGGCTCCACATACAGCAGATGCTTAATAAATGTTTGTTGAATGAATGCTAAGGCATCTTGCCAAGCAACCTAATTTATACTCAAAGAAACTGTTTATGCAACAGAAGAGTCTGAATCTATAAAACAAAGAAGATATCAAACATGCCTATCCCCAGTACAAGTACAGATGGCACACCCCTTCATCAACACACCCTTGCTGGAAGGCTAGTGATCAGACTTGAGCATTTTCTTCAAAGGATCCTCAGATCTCTAAGTCTTAATGAGCTATGAAAGTGCCTTCAGGACTTGCTTGCCTGGTGCATATAAATGCATCCATGGAATTTAGTGGTCTCTACATTCACTCCCCTGATAAGTATTCTCCCTTGAAGGAGAAAATAATGAGTCACTTTGCTTACAAAAGGGGGAAAGAGAAGAATACTAATAAATATGAAGTGATCCAGAAAAGAAAGTAAAAATCCCTCTCCTTAACATTAGATCTCTTGTTGGTTTACTATGTTCTCAAAACCCAGAAAAGATAGTCATTGGACAGCAAGGCTGAACCAGTAAACTCATTTTCCAAGGAGTGAATTCCACCCTTGTTCCCCACTGCCAAAGACTATTTTCTTTGCCTTTTTTTTTTAACAGTAAATTAGCAGAAAATAAATGTCAAGGGGAAGTGTGGAGCCATAAGTGCCAGCTGGCAAGGAATCACTTGGAAAATGATATACACATGGTATGCATGGGCAAGGATGTTTATATTTAAACCAGCCAATGAGGGAGGAAGTTGAGAATCAGACAGCAGCTGAAGCAGGAGACACACCTCCCACCCCCAACCAAAAAACAAACCAACCCTGAAAAGTGTGCTTTGGACAACAGAACTACAAGAGTTGTAATAAGAGCTTTGAACAAATCCCTGGAACCTTTAGGAATACACAGAAACTAAGTGGATTTGACGGATGGCAAAAATCAGAGTCCTAGAATCTCAGAGTTGGAAGAGATATATCAGAGATCATCCCAACAATAAGCAAAGTGTGGATCCTATTTAGAAAATATAATGAATGGTCACAGCCTACACTTTAATACTTCCAAGGTGGGGGAACTCACCACCCTATGAGGTAATTCTTTCCATTTTGGGACAGGAGAGAAACTTTGTTAGAATGAATCAAAATCTGCCACTGCCTCCTCCTCTAACTTCTATTCATTGCTCCTAGTTCTGCCTTCTCAAGCCAAGTATAACAAATCCTAATTCCTTTTCTGTATTATAGTCTTTCAAATATTTGAAGACAGTTATATGTAGGGGTGTGCTAGAGCCAGCTTGAACAGCTCAGGAGAGCCAATTAAAAAATTTTCAATGTGAGCATTTACACCTCAGAAAGATTTATTGTTTTGTTGATTTCTAGACTTAAGAAAGTATTAATAATGTAGATTAAACAAAAGTGTGTCCTGCAGTACATTATTTTTTCAAAGCTACTATTATTGAACATTTACCAACACACCCCTGGTTATCTACCCATAAATCTTCCATTCTCCCAGTTAAGGATCCCCACTTCCTTTAACTGGGATAGTTTCCAATTTCTTAACAATACTAGTCACTGTCAAAAATGCTGCCCCAGAACTGACCACAACACTCCACATGTGGTCTGACCAAGGAAGAATACATCAGGATTATCCCCTCTCTAACTCTAGAAATTATACTTCTATTCATGGTGTCTAAAATAATTGTGTGGCAGCTAGATGGCACAGTAGATAGAGCCCTGGGCTTAGAATCAGCAAGACTCATCTTCATGAGTTCAAATTTGGCCTTAGACACTTACTTACTAGCTGTGTGACCCTGGGAAAGTCATTTAATCCTCCTTGCCTCACTTTCCTCATCTGTAAAGTGAGCTGGGGAAGGAAATGGCAAACCACTCCATGATCTTTGCCAAGAAAACCCCAAATGAGATCATGAAGAGTTGGACATGAACAAAATTACTTTAGACTTTCTGGCTGCCATATTATACCAAATGGACAGAGGGTTTAGGATTAGGGTAGGTGGGCTGACTGAGTGATGAGAAAATGATTCCAAAGAACAAAGCACTGTTACTGGTACCTGAGGAGAGGGTCCAACTCAAGACTGGTGTCCTGCAAACTTCTTTTTAAAGGAACTACACAATTATGCAAAGAGTTCTGGAGTGGGAAAAGGGAGGCTTGGGTTTTCATCTGGGCCCTGCTAGTTTGAGTTATCCAATTTTGAGCTGGAAAGGACCCTCAGAGATCATCTAATCCATTCCCCTCATTTTACAAATGAGGACAGAGTGGTATGGTGCAATGCAAAGAGTACTAGATTTGAAAATATAGGGTTGGACATGATGACTTCTGTGATCCCTTCCAACTCTGAGTTTCTATGACCCTGGTTCATATTCTGGCTTTGCTTCCTCTATAACCATGGTGTCATCATCTATAAAATGATAAGGTTGGACCAGATTGTCACTAATATCCTTGTCAGCTCTAAAGTTTTGATTCAGGACACCGAAGCCAAAAGACTTGAATTGCCTTGCCTAAAGGGATAAGTTTCAGAGCTAATATTTGAACTCAGATGTTCTGATTCCAAACTCTACACTATGCTACCTTGGACAAGTGATTTCATCTCTTTAACTGTGACCACCAGTTTTCTCATCTATAGAATAAGGACAATTTCTGGGGCCTGTAGACAAATGGAACCCAAATTCTTTCTGGGGTGAGGAGCAAAGGTCTCGGCTTGGGCCCATACCCCATTATAGTGATGTCATTTTGACCCTCTTCAAGAACAAAGGACAACAACTAACAGGTCACAATTAGTGGTGTTGAAAGTGGATTTATGGGACAACATAATTGACTCCATTTTGTCCTATATTCCTATATTTGTCCTATCTTATATTTCTTTGCCTTTCTGAGTGATGCCTCTAACATATACTGAAGATCTCCTTCATTACCTCCCTTCTATCTATTACAAAAGAAAACTTAAGGATTTTGAATAGCTCTAAGAATTCACTTCCTTTCTCTTTATCCTATCCATTAAGGCAAGTAGTAGGAGCTTAACAAATGCTAATTAACTAACAGACTGATAAAGAAGATGCTATTTTCTTGGTCTAGTGTAAATGGCTATGCAAAAGAACATTTTTTTTCTTAAGCTAATTTTATTTAAGGATCTTAAAAAGTATGTCTTCAGCTTCTAGATGAGCTCAGGGCAAGACTGGGATGGCCTGAGACATTGTGGGGTCTTAGCTCTAGGAAGGGACCCTAGGAGCCCTCCGTGTGAGGAGTGGGAAGAGCAGAGGGATCTAAGCCATAGTAAAGGTTCCTCCCAGAGATCTCTGTCTTGAGTTGGGGTTGTGCTCCTTAAATTACTTCTTACCCCTACCTGAGGCCTTGCAAGGATGAGTGCTTTCACATGAAAATCTGTACCTTCTCTGTACATCTGTAGAAGATGCCTCAGGTGCTGGCTGGCTGATCCTGTGTGCTCCTGGGGCCTGGGAGTAGGGCTAGGCCATCATGGTCCCTGAAGTAATTTCCAACTTTGAGATTCTGGGATTTGGGGAGACAAATTCATTCCTCCTCAGGTGCTGCTTCTCATGCTTCTGGACTTAGTCATGATAACTAAGGTGCTTCCTCATCCTGGACCTTCCCTCAGCATTGGAACATTCATCCACAGTGCCAGGCCTCTCCTCCCACTGGTGAGTTCCTTCCAGGACCTGCCTTGGGGAGAGCCAGGCTTCATCCTCCTTCAGCTGTGCCTCTGACTCTTCAGGCTCCCCCACTATGCCCCCCTAACCCATACTTCAGCCTTTTCTCCCCATCCCCTAGTGTCAAAATTAGGTATATATAACTTCTGTAATGAAGTCTTCTGAAATGTGTCAGGTACCACTCTTAAATTCACACTGCAGTTTAGTTTAAGATAAAACTACAACTGAATCAGGTTTCGGTGAATACTCCCAGCTGGCAACATTTTAGTTGCTGTGGTTCTAATATAAAGAGAGTACCTGATGAGTGACTCAAAGCTACAAAAGAATGATAACTATGGCCAATTTTTAATGTGTATCTTTTATTCAACTTATGTTATTAACAACACTTTCATAATTTTTAGAAGTGATGATCAAATAATGCTTGATAACAATTAAGTCTTCACCAAATTTGCCATGGAATTTGACTTGCTAAGTTATCAATGAGATTTTACCTGACTGCACTGAAGTAAGAAATTATCTGTTTTAAAATATATCCAATTCTAAGACAACTCCAAAAGACTCATGATGGAAAATGCTATCCACATCCAGAGAAAGAAGGATGGAGTCTGAATGCAGGTCAAAGCATACTATTTGCTCTTTTTTTGTTTGTCTGTTTTGTTTTGTTTCTTCTTTCTCATGGTTCCTCCCATTTGTTTGAATTCTTCTTTACAAAGTGATTGATGTGAAAATATGTTTAGTAAGAATGTATACGTAGATCCTATATCACACTGCATGCTATTTTGGGGGGAGGAAGGGGAAGGAGGCAGAGAAAATTTGAAACTCAAAAGCTTATGGAAATGAATGTTGAAAATTAAAAATAAATCAATTAATTTAAAAATTAAAAAAGAAAGATATAAACCAAAAATAAAATAAAATAAAACATATCCAATTGAATATCTGACAGGCTTATAGCATTCTGGATAAGAAATAACAATTTTACATTATTTGATTAAGAATTAACAATAATACAATGGAATCACCCTCTTTAACTCTATTAAATTGTCCACAGAGTTTAAACAATTTGATCACAATCTTTCTTTGACTCCTCAGTTCATAATCTAATAGTATCCATAATACACTATCTTTTTAATCTAAGCAAAACTATAAATTTATTACCAACCAGATATCCAATTGGACGCAAGTTAAATAATTTCAACCAGTAGTTTTTGACACCATATAGGGATCATATAAAAGACTACTATAGAGCATTCTTGATTCAATTATATACTACATAGAAGTCCAACAATGTTATTCTTTAATATACTGTCCTTCCAAATATTGGGTGGCAATATGAAAATAATTTTTTATGCCACCCAGCGCAATGCTTATAAAAATACTTGTTACTTGTAAAGTCTGGCATAAAATAAATTGGTAGACTCATTATCTTTCAAGATGATTTTGGTTCCCCTAATGCCTTTCTTGTACCAATTAGGGCATAAAACATATAAATACCATTTGATCTCTGGCAGGGATTGATTAACAAAAGCAAAGTTGATCATTTCTGCATCATATGGTTTAAGTGGATCTAACCCTAAATCCTGCCTATTACTTCTATGTCTTTTTAATTTGAATGTGAGAAGGGAAGCACCTGGAGAAAGATATCCAGTGCTTGTCTCAGACTCTAGCTGTGTGACCCTAGGCAAGCTACTTAACCTCAGTTTCCTCAACTGTAATATGGGGATAGTAGCAGCATCTACCTCTTAGGATTGTTGTGAGGCTCAAATAAGATATTTAGAAAATGCTTAGCACAAGTTCCTGACACATTGTAGTTGCCATTTATGTGCTTATCCCTTCCTTTCAGTGATTTTTGGAATAACATTCTGTAGAAAGTTGTTTTAAGGAAAAATAAAAAGAAGAAAGAGATTAAAAAAAAACTGAATTGTAGCCTGGAGACCTGCACTCTAGGCCTCCAACATTACACTTAATACATCACTTACCAAGCTACCATAACTAGCACAATATCTTACAGTAGATATTAATAAACGTTTGTTAAATTGAACCAAATAGTAACAAAAAAATCTAGCACTTAGAATTTTACAAATTTGCAAAATGTTTTATAAATATCTCATTTGACCCTCACAACAATCCCAGGAGGTAGCTGCTATTATTATCCTTATTTCACAGAGGAGGAAACTAAGGGTGACACAGCTTAAGTAACTTGCCCAGGGCTGCACAGCTATAAATGTCTGAAAGCATATTTGAACTCAGATCTTTCTAATTCCAGGTACAGTTCTTTATCCATTGTTCCACTAAGCTACCTAGATTATCAGTATCAAGATATCACTGTTAACAAAGCATTCAGGAGAATGATGCAGGGTTTCCAAGGAGTGTCAGGTTTTTCCCTCAACAGTTTCATCATATAGCATTGGTTCAGATGCAGTCAGGATGGAGTAATAAATTTAGAACAATCCAGTGGTGTGTTAGCAAATATTTAAAAACTAGCTCTCAAGGGGGAAAAATGTACAACACATTTTTGAGTTTAATCTGCCTTATTAATTAACATTTTCTCCATCTCGTTAAGTCTGTAAATCAACAGAACAATGAATTAAGCCCTGATTTGTAGCATTTGCTAATTTCCAACATGTTAAATGCTCACAATGAAAATCTAATAATCAGTTGGTATCAGCCGGCTATAGCACAGCTCTGGAGCAAGCAGACTTGGATTTGAGTCCCTGACTTGTTTTGTGATCTTAAGGAGGGAAAGGAAGAGATAAGCACATAAATGGCAACTACAATGTGTCAGGAACTTGTGCTAAGCATTTTCTAAATATCTTATTTGAGCCTCACAACAATCCTAAGAGGTAGGTGCTGCTACTATCCCCATATTACAGTTGAGGAAACTGAGGTTAAGTAGCTTGCCTAGGGTCACACAGCTAGTGTCTGAGGCGGTATTTGAATTTAGGTCTTCCTGACCTAATGGAGTTCAACACTCCATACACTACAGCACCTAGCTGCCTAAGCAAAGCACTTTCCTTTACGGGGCCTTTTCCTCATCTGTAAAATGATTTGGTTGAACTTGAATCTAAAGTTCCCTTACACCTCTTATGATTCTTTGAGTCTATACTTTCTTTCATATCCACATTAATTACAACAATAGGTATTCATTCTATGGAAACCTAACATAATCCTAGAATGAGTTCTGAATCATCAAAGAAAGATACTATTATACACTGTTTCTTAGAATTCCTTTGTTAAGTATAATTTATTTTATCATATGCCTGTGAAAACTGGCATACATGGCCTACAATATACATGAGAATTCTCAATTACAAAGACTATTTGATTCACTGGAATGCCCTGTTCCCTAACCCAGCTGGACTGGAGTTATTATGACTTATCTTGTTATCATGTTATCATGGAAGGGGACTATCAGTCTGTCAAGAGGATAATAATCCCACTTCCTTAACAGCACTGTTAAAGAACAAATTTTTACCATAGAGATCAATGCATTTAGGAGATAATCTTGTAGATTATCTAGTTCAATTTATTCATTTTACAGATGAGAAAACTGAGACCCAGTGAGGAGAAGTGATTTCTCCCATATTATAGAGTAAATTAGTGGCAGGGCCAGGATTAGAACCAAGGTCTTTTGATTCATAATCACCCTGAGCCATAATTATTGTGCTAAGGAGCTGGTTGTGATGTCCTGGATAGGAACCTAGATCTCTACATACCTCTGTCTCTCTGAGTCTGGCTTCTAGGGCAGCTCGGGGACCTTGAGTGTTGTCATTAACTTGCAGGCGTTCCTGGACAGCTTTCATCCATGCCTGGGCACTCTCTATATTGCTGTCAAACTCACCCTGGGGCTGCTGAGTCATGGCATCTGTAGAACCTGGAGTAAATGTTTAAAAAGAGCAAAAGGGTAAAAATACATGGAACTGTAAGAAAGACCTGGACTGCATGAGACTGCCAGACTAAATCCGAGGAGAAAGAGAGAGAAAAGAACATAATCTCACAACTATGGACCAATAAACTTAATTTCTGATTTCTGGAAAAATTCTGGAACTTGCTCTTTAAGAGCTCATTAGTGGACATTTAAAAAAGAAAACAATAATCACTAAGAAAGTCATTAAGGACAGGTCATGACTGGTTAACCTCACTTCCTTTTTTTGACATTTACTAGACTGTGGGATTATTGGAACACTAGAGACCTAGTGGAATTCAGCAAAGCATTTGACAAAATTGCTAATACTATCTTTGTGGACAAGATTAAAAATGTACATTAGATGATAAGACATGTTGGTGGATTTGGAAATTGGTTGAATGACTAAAGACATGAATGCTAACTAATGGCTCAAAGTCAATGCAGTGGGAGGACTTAGTGGATTCCCCTGGGATCTGTTTGGCCATGAGCTATTCAACTTTTTTTTTGTCAAGCTTGGATTAAGGAATAAATACAATGCTTATCAAATTTGCAGATGTTGCAAACTGAGAGGGATAGCTGACATGTGGGTTAAAAGAGGATCTAAAAAAGAAAAGATCACAATAGGGTAGGACACTGGGCAGGAGTGTGCTGGTCATTGTGTAACCAATGGCTCTGGGAGTAGTAGGGAGAAGGGGAAAGTGTATGTCTAATTGGACTTTGAAAATTAATCTGTGTTATTATTTTTTTCCATCACTAATAAGTCTAGACTGTAGACAACGAAACAATGAATCAAGCTCTGATTTATAGCATTACTGATTTCTAAGATATAAATGCTCACATTCACAATGAGCACTACAGACACTAGACCAAATATAAAGTGACCATGTTTAATAGGAATAATTGTAAAATCCTACACCTGGATTCAAAAAGTCAACTTAACAATTAAGAGCCAGGATATGGTCAGACAACATTCACCTGTGAAAATTGGCAATTTATACATGATATATAGCAACCTTCTATTAATTATTAACAAGACTTCTATTAATAAGAATAAAATATTAACAAGACTTATTAATAAGTCTGTTAAGAATTAATCATATTAACAGACTCTAAGTTCAATATGAGTCAAACGTGTAATATTGTACCATAAAAAATGAGTAAGATTTTAGGCTAAATTAATAGAGACATAAAATCCAGAGTAAGATTTCTGTAAGCCCCACAGTACTTTGTCTTGGTCCAGGCACATATAGAATTTTATGTTCCAATTCCTTCAACCAATCCTTACAGACAGATCACAAAATACAGAGAAGTAGCTATCAACTCAAGTCAACAAACATTTGTTAAATGCCTATTATGTGAAAGGTTCTGGTACTTTCAGATGCCATCCAGTTTGCCAATGTCTCTCCAAAAATACACCGCCTAGAACTGGACAGGGTACATCAGATATAGTCTCCCCCTGATTAGGCAGCACACGATTCCCTAGCTACCAGAAAAAAAGAAAAAGCCAGACTCATCAGTAATGAATTTCTCTACCCAGTAGTAAAAGCAGAGCTTAAGGAGAACACCTTCTAATTTCCCCAAAAGGACTCAAAGTAGGAACTGGAAATAAAAGCTACATTTTAGACTATCAAGGGGAGCTTTCCAGATATGAGAAGCCAGGTCAAGAGTAGAATTCTTAAGAGATTGAAATCTAATAAATTCTTCTCCAATAGTAAAATATAGATTTCAGGAAAGCAGAGAGGCAGCAGTGGGTGAAATCTAATAAGCAGTTCCAATCCAATAAAATTCAGCAAGTAAACTTTAAGTTCCTACTAGAAAGACCCAGATTGCATAAAACTACCAGACCAAGTCTAAGGAGAAATTTGTTCCTCCTGAAATATGTTCCTGGCCCTATGTTACCAAAAATAGGGTTTCAGTTCCCTAATAAACATCCTAACTACCTGGGTTACTCTTGACAAATTATTTAATCTTTGTGGGCCTCAAAAACAAGGGAAATAAGAGCTAGATAATCCCAAAATAATTTTCTAACGTGTCCCTTGTTATTTATTTTAGGAAATGTTTTCAAGAAAGCATTTAAGAATAAAATACACACTGGGGAGGTACTTCAGCAGAGTAAGGTACAGGGCATGGGGTGCAAGGCTCTGCATAACAGTGGAAAGAGCACATTAGTACAAGTCAGGAGACTTGGGTTCTAGGCCTGGTTCTCCCACTAATTTGCAGTATGATTTTGCATGTGTCACTTTCCATCTCTGGGCCTTAGTTTCCCTCTCAATAAAATGAGAGGTTTCCTGTCCTGCTCTAAGATTTATTCAGTAAATTCTAATTTAAATAGCCATTCAATAAGTATTGATTAAGCACCTCTGATGTGCAGTGCTGCTTTAGACAGTGTGCCATTAAGAAAGCACTAATCTTAAGAAAAAGAAAGGGTGAGAAAAGGGAATACAAAACAAGGGAAGTAAGTTCAAAATTTCGCTGAGTTGAAAGATGACAGAGATGGGAAAACAAGAGAAAAGGAGAACCTGATTCTAACAGCCTCCTAGAACACAATGCACTGTTTGAAAGCTTGGCTTTCCAACGTGTTGTTTTGCTTTCAGAGTAGGGCTCATTTTTCTAACATCTTAATCTGTTCTTCCACGGTCACTCCCTTTCCTTTACTGCTTGGTTTGAAAAGAACGTTAGCCTGGATAGGATTTTAAATTGGTTCAGTGTGGCTGGAATTCCTTTCCTTGTTTATGACTTGCCTGACTTTCAGAAGAGAAACTGACAAGGAAAGAAAAGAAGGGGGAAAAGAATCTTTAAGGATTCTGGATCACCTGACATTAGAAAGAGCAGTTTTTAATTGCAGGAATAATTCAAACTTTTTATGAGTTCTTCCATTTGGAAAGATTCCAACTTTGCATGTGCAGAAAGACTCACAGACACAAGAGTATGTCAGATTCTACACAAGGGGCCCAGTGTTGAAGTGACTTGTTTGGGGGCGGAGAACAGGGTAGTAGGAGGAGTCCTAGATCATGTGCTGCGCCTTAGGCTACACAAAGAGAGTGGAAAGAGTGAGGGTAAAAAGCACCTAACTTTGTTGTCAGGAGGATCAAATGCTAGTGCTGCCTCAGACACTAGCTAACCCTACAATTCTTGGCAGCTCAAGATTTCTTCATGCCTCAGTATCCTCATCTGTAAAATAAAGGGGTTATACCAGTTGATCTCTAAGGTCACAGATTCACTGAATTTGAAAGGCAGAGGGGACCTCAGTGGCCATCTAGCCTAACCCACACACTAAAGGAATAACAACTATAACATACCAATAAGTGGTTGTTCAAACTCTGTTTGAAAGAGAGGGCATGGATTCCACTCCTTGGAGGTCTTAAAGTAGAGGCTGGGTATGTTTTAGCGGGCATTGCTTTCATGGATGGATTGGACTAGAATAGTTGCTAAGGTCCCTCTTCCATTTCTCAAATTCTTATGAGGGAATTGGAAATATTAGGCCAGCAGAAAATTAAGAAAGAATGCCAGAGCTACCTTTAAATATCTGAATGTCTCCCTAATCAACAAATGTTCGAAGGATATAAACAAGCAGTTCTCAAAGAAAGAATTACAAACTCTTAACAACCATATGAAATAATGGTTTGAATCACTAATAATAAGAGAAATGCACATACATATACATAGATATATATGTATGTATAATATTTTTGTACAGCTAAAGAGGGAATTTGTTTTGCTTAACTATGTATTTGTTACAAGGAATTTATTTTTCTTTTTTCTTTATTTCTCAGTGGAGTAAGAGGGAGAGAAAACAGATGTATTGTTTTTTTTTTAATTTAAAAATAGAAGGGGAGATTGATGTGGATGTGGATTGCTCTAACCATTGTAGAAAGCAATTTGGATTTTGCAAAGAAAGTGATTAAAATGTCCATACCCTTCAACCCAGAGATACCACTGCTAGGCATATACCTAAAGAAGGTCGATAACAGAAAGGTTCCAAATACATAGGAAAAATTTATAGCAGTATTTTTTTGTGGTAACAACTTGTTATTCATCCTTCGTTCTCAAAGAGGACCATGACATCAGGAAGGTGATGCCATGACTTGCAAGTGAATTGGATTTAAGTGTGGGAGGGCTGTGCAAAGGCACCGTCTGACTTTCCTCTCTGGGGCTATCTGGGTCCATTGGCACGATATAGATTCAGGCGACTGGAGATGGCCCCCTAACAAAGAACCAGAATCAAAGTAGATAACTATTGACTGGAGACTGTCTAAACAAATTGTGGTACATTGATGTAAAGTATATTATTGTGCTACTAGAAACAACGAACCTTAAGAATACAGAGAAGCATGGGAAGACTTAGGAAGTGAAGCATGGTGAAATATCCAAAATAAAGAAAATAAATAGATGATTATAAAAAGTTAAATGGCAAGAATAACCACAAAGTTGAATGTTAGGAGATTATAATGACTGAGCTTTGCCTCAAAGCAGAGCAGACACCTTTCCCAAATGCTTTGCAGAGGTAGAGCACCATGGGGGTAGAACATTCATTCAGACTTTTTTCATATGTTAGCGAGTTTTGGTAAACTTTTTTCTTCCTCTTCTGTATTATAAAAGATGACTCTATGACTATAAACTATCTTTTACTCTCAAATCCTTTGCTTCCTTGTCTGATTATTGCTTGTGCCTTGCCAAATCCCAATCCTGTATTAATCCTATCATTCATGATCTCTGCTTCTAGTCATAAACTGAATGAACTTGGATTAAATCACACAATTATTCAGACTAGGTCCATTAAAATTTATTTTAGCTATTCTCAACTGGGAGAATATAGCAACAAGGTATTTGTTAGGCCTCTCCAATCCTTGAAAAACTCTAACTAGATCCTACCATTTCCTCTAGCTATCATCTATATCTCTTCTTTATTAATCAAACTCCTTGAAAAATCAATCTCTTTATTGCTAAATCTCCATTATTTTCTCAAT